AGTGCCAGAAGATATGCCAGATAGAATGCCAGAAGATTTGCCAGATAGAATGCCAGAAAATATGCCAGAAGATATGCCAGAAAGATATGTCAGAAGATATGCCAGAAGATATGCCAGAAGATATGCCAGAAGATATGTCAGAATATATGCCAGAAGATATGTCAGATAGAATGCCAGAAGATATGTCAGAATATATGCCAGAAGATATGCCAGATAGAATGCCAGATTGAATGCCAGAAGGTATGTCAGATAGAATGCCAGAAGATATGCCAGATAGAATGCCAGAAGATTTGCCAGATAGAATGCCAGAAGATTTGCCAGATAGAATGCCAGAAGATTTGCCAGATAGAATGCCAGAAGATTTGCCAGATAGAATGCCAGAAGATTGCCAGATAGAATGCCAGAAGATTTGCCAGATAGAATGCCAGAAGATTTGCCAGATAGAATGCCAGAAGATATGCCAGAAGATATGCCAGATAGAATGCCAAATAGAATGTCAGAAGATATGTCTGATAGAATGCCAGAAGATATGCCAGAAGATATGCCAGATAGAATGCCAAATAGAATGTCAGAAGATATGTCAGATAGAATGCCAGAAGATGTGCCAGTAAGAACATGTATAAATGTCATGGTGGGGATCACACGAAGTAAAGTAAATTATTTTCCATAATATATGGGATAATCCTTCCCATTGACTTTCATATTTTTCAGAGGGGTTGAAACCACCAACCAGTTTTGAATGACAATGAAGAGACTCGCCCAGTCCAGCAGCCCAGGTGTGCTTGCAATGTGCTGTCCAGCAACTCCACCAGGGTGCGGGAAACCCTGTACCAACCATCCGAAAAATCCCTGGTGAACAGTAAAACAGCTGGGATTTATGGGTGTTCTATAGCTATTAATGTTCCTACAAATGGTATCTATAGCTATTGATTCATAGCTATACATGACGCTTCTGTCTTCGGATAAATCTGTAAGGGTTATGTGTTCATGACGGGCTCCGGTTCCGATATCCAAGTAGTACTTGATAGTGGGATCAGCCGAAGAGAACCACAAGAACTGGGGTGGTGTCAAATGTGTGCTATTTATTCTTGTTTTCCGTCCCTGAATTTGGAAGATGATCCCACATTCAGCAGGGAAAAGAAAAAATATGTTGCTGAAAGTGGTGATCGTGGGATAGATATATATATATATATACATGCAAAAGAGGAAGATTGTCAAGGTTAATCCGTCGAAATCGGTGAAAAAGCCTTGACCCACATCACCAAGCACGGCCGTTCTGGCTGGTGGACGGAAGAGGAGTGGAAAAGAGCAACGAGATGTTTGACATGCTGTGTATGTGCAGAATCTCGCACAGGATGTTGGTGCATTCATTGACCTCCAGGACGTGCTAGCCAGTCATAGGAGCGTCATTTACCGGTTCATGTGACTATCTGCAGGAAAGCTATGGCAAGTGAGTAATGATGAAGGACTTCTCAAAGCAGTTATATGTGGGTGGAAGTACGGGATGTTTCGGCGCCTTGAAGCATCATGTTCCGCCCATGGCATCGCCATTGGGCTTAGAGGCCTGCTGTAAGAAATTGACTCACTCTCAATGGTACATCAGCATTGATGCTGCCCATCTATAGGCCAACATCTTATGCTCTCAGTTTTCCTCAGCAAAAGAAGAGTACGGAGCCAACTTTGGAATGTAACTGCCATAATCAAGGAGTGGCTCATGCTGACCACAACTCTGGAAATGCTGCAACAACAACCTTCAATTTACTTGGTGCAGACTTTCTTTACAGCGAGTCCTTTGATAAGCCTGCCAAGATGCTACGGTGTGTCGATGATTTGGAGCATTTTCCCATCGCACATCCAAGGATCTGCTCAAAACCATTGGAACAGCTAGAGATGGTTGGCCCCAAAAAAGATTGAGCAACATGCAATCAGTGACAAGGAAATCTGTTTGTTAGCTACATCATACTCGTTAACTCACCCATAATCCAACCTGTGTAAATGTCGGATAGAAATGTATATTTATGTATAACATTGTAGAACTATCTCACAACTGTTCATGCTTACCTGCCGCTCTGGTAATGGCAAATCACCAATTTTCAAGTCATGATCATTGATCATTTATCCCATTTTGTAAACATAAATATTGGGGATGTCCCTTTTGCCATGTGAATGCTTCCCGGGATGGTTCATCCACAGCCAGGCGCTCTCATCCACTGCTGATGCCTTGAAACGTGGCCTCCTCAATGGTCGGGTGTGTCCACGGCTTGCTTTTGATGCTCAATGGTCAGATTCCGCATCCCCATTTTGGCAAAAGCTCCGTCCTAAATCACACGTCCTAAGGTTTCAATCCCTATTTTTTCATACTTGAATCCTCATGGGTTGGCTTTAAAAAAAAAGGATGTTGTCCTAAATCTGAGTTTTTCCCTCTGCTTTTCCTATGGGTTTTCCCTGGTCCATAAATTTTGCCACCGGTTTCCCACCATTTTTTCCCTCCGCTCACGTAGGTTTGGCTCATGTGGGACGCTGTTGGGACCTTGCACGGAAGATCCCGTTGGAGTTCCCAGATTGGTGGTTGAGGATTCTTACTACGGATTTTGTTGGTTGATAACATAGCCCTAATAGTAGTGATATACTGTGTATATATATATATATATGTGGTTGATACCCAATAATCCAATAATATATGGTTGATATATATTTATATATATGTAATTATTATTATTATCATTATTATTATCATTATTATTATCATTATTATTATCATTATTTTTATTTATTATTATTATAAATTATTATTATTGGTTAATACATTGCTTAAAAAATGTAATATAATATATTATTGTTAACTATGTTAATATATGATTAATATGATATGGTTGTACCGTATATTGGTTGATGCCATTGTTGCCATTATTGGAATAATGGTTAGGATTCGGGGAATTATCCCAATATGGTCGCAAGTTTCAGGTTAGTGAAATATTACCCACAGACGCCGTGTGCTGCCCAGACATTAACATTGAGAATGTCGTGCTGTCGAATATGTGATAGGAGAGATTGCAGAAAATACTGCGTATACGCAGTGTTTTCCAGTTTAGGATTCAAAGTTTCAGAGCCTAGGGTTTAGGGTTTTAGTGTTTGGGGTTTTAGGGTTTGGGGTTTTAGGGTTTTGGATGGTTTCAGGTTTTAGAGTTTAGGGTTCGTCGTCTGGGAAATCTCGAAACACTGGCCCTGCGCAGGTGTTGGAGCATGTTGAAGGATAATGTTCGACATGTTTAAACGCCATTTGAACCTTCCGGGCAACCCACAGCGCCTGGCCGAAATAATATAATTTACCCAGATATATGGGTAATATGACGGATATACCATTGGTAATATGATGGGTAATATGATGGATATACGATTGGTACTATTATTTTATGATAACAATACCATGCATGCTTTTATATATATATATACGTATACATAGTAATATGATTAACAATAGCCATGGAATACCATAATATTTGTATTATTAGGTAATACGATTGACAGCCATGGAATAGTGGCGAATTATATCTAATTATATATATATGATGATTTTTGTAATCATTGTTATTGGTTGATGATCATTATTGCTTGGTTGATCATGAGTATTCCCTTAGTTGATTCTTCTTACCCTCTGGTAAACGTTTACATAGCTATGGAAAATCACCGTGTTTAATGGATAAATAAACGAACTAAATGGTTTTTTCAATAGCCATGTTAAGTTACCAGAGGGTAATCATATTATTGTTATATATTAGTGTTATTGTTATTAGTAGTATTTGATTATTATCATTGTGATTATTAGTATTGCTAAGATTAGTATTGGTTGATTAGGACACGGGGTCATACACTAGCCAATGTATGGAGTGGGCTATAAACCCTATTGACCAGCCAGTATAAAGTGAAATGGTAATGGTAATAATAATGGTTAATAAGCTAATCGACGTTAGTAAGTCTCAATAATGTGTAATACTAATGGTTAATAGTGGATATACCCTCTGGTTATTTAACATAGCCATGGAAAGATCCACCCATTTTTAAGAACGGTAAACCATCTATTTCTATGGGCCATTTCCCATGGCAAACTGTTAGTCATAACCAGAGTGTAACACTTGAGAAGTGGTTCTGCGATCCACCCCCCGTTGATGATTAGTTTGGGGATGATACGAACCAAGACCGGGGATTGTCATAATCCCAGTTCACTGGGCAATCCCGTTCTCAACCAACCAGGTCCACCTGTTGTTTGGGCATACCGGTTACAGCTAAATGGGGCACAAAACCCTCTGGTTTTTTCACATAGTTATGGAACACCCTCATGTTTTAACGGGTAAATCATCGAGCTAAATGGAGGATGGTGCTCCCCAGTCATAGGTTGGCGTATAAACCCCATGAATACTAGTTCGTTATATCTACCATAAACCATAGTTAATTCAGCCATAACCATATCTAAACTGAACGCGAGCTCGAACGGGGCATAATCCTGTATGAACTATGAACCAACCAACAGGGTCCATACATGGGTGGTTGATACAGTATATCGATTAGTTCGGGGGGAGGTTTTTCTATCCATATTTGTCCCCATTTAAATCACCATTAAATCCCATTAAAGCCATATATCCCAGTAATTTTTTTTTATAGGTTTCCTAAAATATGCCCCCAAATCATCCATTTTATTTTCGGATTGTCCCTGAAACAAACCAGCGAGCGATAAAGGGTTTTTCCCCTTGTTTTTTTCATTCCCTGCTGGTTTCTGGACCTGTTTTTGGCGATGATCCGATCCACTGCTTTGAGAAATTGATCGTGCACTTGAGGAACTTATGATTGAGGATTTTTAGTGATGGGTGATGATGGGAAAAAAAATCTGATTGGTGATTGGTGACTGGTGCTTGGTGATGATTTGGTGATGTTTTTTTCAATTGGTGATGATGGAAATGATGAGACATTGAAAAAGAAAAAAGATGGATTTCCAACGCGTGGCTAGCTGGAATTGTCATAAGTTTACTGAAGTTCGGGAGGTGCAGATCTGCCATATTCCCTGTTTTCGTTGGTCCAGAGGAATGTTCTGCAATGTTTTGCAAACCACCATCAGAAGACTAGTGGTTATCTGGTTTGTGGTTCCAAACATTTTTGATTTTTCCATGCATTGGGAATAATACTCCCAACTGACTAATATTTTTCAAGATGGTTAAAACCACCAACCAGGTGGCTATGCACAGGACCCATTCTGCATCCTGCTGGATGTTTCAAGCATGTTCGTTGAATGCAGATGATTGTCGAAGAAAGGGTGAACGGAATTCCTTCACGGTAAATGATGGTTGAGTAGATTCATCCTTTAATCTTTTGCTATAGGAATATCCACCTTCACCAGCTAACAAGTTGTCATTGTTTGCAGGTTATCTAAGATTGGCCATGTTTGCTATTGAAAATCCCCAGAACAAAGATGATTTATGAGGATTTACCCATTTAAAACGGTGGTTTTCTTCCAGTTTTCATGATTTTTCAGAGACGTTGGCAGGCCTGAGCTTTATGCTGCGGCGCATGTGCTCTTTCAGGATGGGTCACGCCAAGATAGCCTGAATTCTATGGTTTATGGTAGATATAATCATAGTTAATGGGGGTTATAATGGTTTATAAACCAACTTGTAACTGGGGGGCGAAGCTGGTTGGTGGTTTGGAACATGAATTTTATTTTCCCCATCATATTGGGAAATGGCATCATCCCAACTGACTTTCATATTTTTCAGAGGGGTTGAAACCACCAACCAGGAAGAAAACTGTGACTATCAACCGGTGATAACTGGACAACTTGATATAATTTGTTAAGTCCCATGAAATTCCCATTAAATCCAGGTATCAACTGGTGACACCTGGATAATTGGATTTAACTGGTGATACCTGGATTTACCAGCTGGAGGATGAGCTTTGATTCACCTGGAGGTGGACGTAGATTCCAAAGTTGTAGACCATTCTGGTTGCTCGTTCTGTTGACAGCAGCCCTAAGTTTGCTCGTTCAAAAAAAACGACTCCAAGTTTCTCTAAATCCTCCCAGATTCTTGCTGCTTAAACGGCTTAAACCAACAGTTGAAACGTTGACATCTCAGAGTTCTTGGAGTTTTCGCTGCTTCAACGCGCTTTTCTTCGTAGCCCAGGAGTATCAGGCGGAAGCTGCGGAGGGCAAGGAGCCTGTTGGAGCGGTTCAAAACTCTTCATGCTTGATACCCTCTGGTAAACTAACATAACTATGGAAGATCAGCATTTTTAATGGGTGAATCAACTATAAATGTGCCATGTTCAAGAGCTTTTTGCGTGTTTACCAGAGGGTAATGGGATATGTTGCGGACACACCATGATAACCTCCATATATCAATATCTGGATGAGTAATTCAGTCACCTAGGATACGACTTGGAGATATCTCAGCAAATTGTAAGGACCTCACTACGACCTCCCTGGAATCATGGCTAATAAGAGGGATCATCCCAAAATTGGCCGCAAGATTCAGGTTGTGGAATATGTTGATTCACCCGGAATACAATGGGAATACAATGGGAATACAATGGGAATACAATGGGAATACAGTGGGAATACAATGGGAATACAATGGGAACACAATGGTATATGATAAATGTAAATCATCATAAGTCATCTATAAGTAAGCAATGTTCCATAGCAAGCTGTTAAATAACCAGGAATTTTATTTAATGCTACATAAGTGTGATACACTGAGAGTTCAAAGGGAACAGAAAGGGAATATAGTGGATCTTGATGGGATGTGATGGGATATTACCCTGTGGTAATTTAGCAATGGAAATGTGCCCATTTGTGGATGATTCACCTACGTAGTCCTGTAATACCTTGGAGAATGCAATGGTTAAATGTGCATTTTCCCAGCTCTCACCAATTTGAAGCTAATGTTCAGCAAATCTACAAGGTGCCCCCGCTCGCTAAGTTGGTTTTGTAACTCCAATAACTAGGCTGTATGGTAGATATATCGAGCTAGTTAATGGAAGCTGTAAACCGATTTCCAACTCGGGGGTTACCACCTGGTAGTTTCTTTGCCTTCTCATTCTAATGTGCTAGACCCCAAAATCCAGCAAAAAAACGTAAAGAGTTTTACCATGTGGACACTTAATGTTTCATTCTACCCAACTGTGTCAGAATGACTTTGCATCTGGTGTCTGTGGCTTGTTCACCTATTTTTTCAGAATTATTGTGTTTGATACGTCAAAAAAAACACCGATTTGTTTTTATGCTCGTCTCTCATCGTTCACCGAAACGAGTTGGGCACATATCTTCAATGCTAAGACATGTGCCGGTGATCCAAATGATATAGCTGCATTGGGAGATAGTCATTAATCAATTTTTAGGGATCTATATATATAGTCATTGTAAGGATTCCCATTCTGGGATGGACGGCTGTAATCCATGTACCATGTTTTGACCAGCACTTCCGGGACCTTAACCTGACACTGGAAAATCTATGAGAAATCTTGAGCTGACGTCGATGATTCTCCACTTGAACTATCAGGTGTTGAATGGAGCGGTTCAGAGCTATGGTTACAGTATCTTCCCTAAGGGGAGTCAAGGAGCTAGAAGCTGAGGTTCGCAAGCACATCATAGTTTACTTTCATCATTATTGCTGTTCCTACTATGACTATATCTATGATCATGGCATCCATTATAGTTGCTATTACATATTATTACAATACTATTACATATTATTAGATACTATTACATATTGTTACTGGTATTATTACTGGTATTGTTACTGGTCTTATGGTGATGATTACCTTTACATATGTATCATATCTATGATGAGATTTCCCGGCCCCCTTTAGGAGCCCAGCATCAGTCAATGTGTCCCGGGCTCCTTCACTGCGATGTTGGTTGGGGACTCCCAGGAGAAAAACAATGGCCATGCTAAACAGGAACCGATTTGTCGGAGGTACCAATCCCATATATTTTTGGCATATATCTATCTATCTATCTATCTGTCTGTCTGTCTATCTATCTGTCTGTCTGTCTGTCTATCTATCTATCTATCTATCTATATCTATATATATATATATCAGGCCTATTTTTGCAGGGAATATCCCCAGATATGGCCAGAACTATGGTACAGTCCATGTAGATCCTGAAAATCCCATTGTTTAAAAAAATGGAATTTTTCCATCAAGAAATGGAGGTTTCTGGGAAAAAATGGGAAAAAATGGAGGTCTTTAGCTGGGATTCTTAGCTGGAACGGGAAAATCCATATGTTTATTGCAAGAGTTTAGGATGTTTTAGGCATCGCAAGGCATATATGTAGAATTATATATATACACGGCTAGAAAATTGGGGAATCCAGATTATACCTGAATAATCATTTATCTTGGAGAATGGTTAATCATCTTTAACGGTTAGCGATGGTTAAAAACGGATAGTGATTGTTAAGAATGGATAAGAATCTTGGGTTCGTTTAGTCGTTTTTTTGACATGTTCCCAATGGAACATCCCCAAGGACTGGGGAATTGGTGTTAATTGCTGGGGACCCCGGGACCAGAAAATCCAAGTGATGGGATTAAACTGGAACTATGACCATCAAACATGGGATTGAAAGGAGATATGACATGATTCTTCGCATGGGATTTAATATGATTAAATGACATTAAATGAGTGGAACTCAATGGAAGTTACTTGGTTTATCCTATGGATTATGGAATATGTTGGAAAATATGATAGCCAATTTCGGTAATCTTCTGGCAATAATGGGATACCGCGATATCTCATTTACGTTCGAATAATCCGGCCTCTTGGTTGGGCATGATGGAAGCTACTATTATGACAGTAGAAGGTTATTTTTGGATACCTTAGGGTAAACTAACCTAGATTTGAAAATGTACCCTCTGGTAAACTAAGATAACTATGGGAAATCACCCTTTTTAATGGGTAAATCAACGAACTTAATGGCAATTTTCAATAGCAAACGGTTAGTTTACCAGAGGGTAGATCAAACAGTGTTCATAATGGTTGCATAATAGTACCCTAGGGTAAACTAACAAAAAATTGTGGAAAGGTCGATCCTTTTCCTAAGGTTTCCCCATGGTTTACCATAAAGTCCTACTCAGCAACTTCCCAGGTCCTACTGCTCTTGTCCACAGCTCAGCCGGGTGAGGTTGTTACCATCCGACGTGACTATGGAAGCCATGGCCCATTAAGATGATTTAGCCTCGTACTGACGTTATTTTTTCCATAGCAAACTCTCAGAAATTGCATCAAAGTGCATCAAAGTGCCAGATTTTCTGACGATTTTTGATTGGTTTTCTCATACGCACACTGGGTCATTTTTTGAAGGCCCACATGATCCTCCCCAGGTGGGAAGCCCATGATGCACCGGAGGAACTCTTTGACACCGCTGGGCCTCAGCCGATGGCCAGACGGGAAGTTCGACGGGAAGTCAAATCAACTTACTGGTGCTAAACGCAGGAGATTTTCGGGAATGATCCCAGTCATCACTATGAAAATGTCATCATCCCAGCAACCCATTCCCAACCCATCCCATCCATTCCCTACGTTTAGCACGCACCGCACCAGATAGTAAGTCGACATGGATACATTCAACAGAGAAAGTCCGAAAGATCGTTTTTTGTTGGATCCTCTTGGTAGAGCCCCTTTTCCAAGACCTGAGCGGAACAACAAAAATGGTGTCAACCAATGGGGTACCCCATTAAAATACCCATCAGTTCATAACTTTCCCTAGAAATAGCAATTCCGAGTTATACGTCACTTTCAGACAGCCCAAAACAAAGTGTCGGATGACTTGGATTTGCTGAAGATGATGTTGTATTTTCCAAATCGGAAAAGCACTACGAATTGGCAAATCCACTACTTTTTTTGTGGTGCTTCCGAACAGTAAATTCCTTAAGCAAGCCATGAAAAATCACCATGAAAAGTTCATGGAAAATGCCATCAGTCATTGTTCATCCCCATGAAAGATCCAAGATCCAAGATCCAGAGGCTCTTGATATCATCATCCCCCTGGAGCACAGCGTTGTGGCCCCCGCCATGGCCGCTTTGGGCAGCGCTGGCGTCCTGGACGGGGACGACGATCGACGTGGGGACGACGTGTCGGAGATGGTCTCCCAAACGGATCCCTGGTTAGTGGTGAATAATCCTTGGTTAACCACTATTAATCATCATTTACCACTTTTAACCATCACTAATATCTGATTGGTGGTTTGGAACATGACTTTTATTTTTCCCATCATATTGGGAATGGCATCATCCCAACTGACTTTCATATTTTTCAGAGGGGTTGAAACCACCAACCAGATTTAGATCCATTTAGATCCAATAATAGCCATGAAAAAGTAGGGAAACATGGTGATAACTTCGTGATGACCATTGGATTGGGGGTTTCTGATACAAGTTCATATTCCTAGTATGAATACCGTTTATCAGGTGTATACCCGAGCATCCATGGATATATCTGATCACTGACTGATATATCATAAACATCCACCAGAAAGAATTCACCAGGGTGGTGCCCGCTACTAACCAGCACTATGAAGTGAGAATAATGAACAACAGCTTATGAACCATTATTATTACCATTAACATCCATTAACATCCATTAACATCCATTAAATGGCAATGATTAACGACTATGAACTATGAACCACGTCTTGAACCAGACCTGGACCTTTCTTCGCGAGGATTGCCAGACATTTGGCCGCATCCAAGACGGGTGGTGGCCGGGCGTCCTGGATCTGCGCTACTTGAGACGCTTGACCTCGCGCCTCTCCAGGTGGCTTTCCGCCGCCCAGGGCGGGATTCGATGTGTTGGTTAATCATGCTTAATGGTTAATACTGGTTAATCACTACATGGTTAATCATGGCTAATCACTAATAGTTAATGGTTAACCATGGTGAATGGTGAAGCAACTGGATGGGTAGTGACTAACCAGTCGTTTGGTATGGGATACTTTCTACATCTTTCTACGTTCACCAGCTAAGAATCGGTCATATTTGGCTATCTGGCTGATTGGCCATGGTTTTTATGATGATCCAATTTCGGGATTCAGGAGATTTCAGGAGTCTGCTTTGGATATCATCAAGAATATGTAAATCATTGGAAATCATCGAAGTAAATGTGGCATTGTCCATGGTTATGTGAGTTTTCTGCATTGTTTTTTTGAGCTGCTGGGGGATTTAAGCAAAGAACAAAAAGGCTCAAGACACTGGTTAAGAGTAGCTTAACAAACGGGTTGCACATGTTAGACATGATAGACATGTGCATGGAGGAATTTTCCATAGTGGATCATATCCTGCCAAAAAAATATGTGGATTGTCCATATCAAATTACCAGAGTGCGGTGGAGAATTTCCTATCCTCAGACTCATCGGGAACTTCCGAAGGCGCAGCGTGCGCAGCGGGTTCGCCACCATTTTGGAGAAGCATTCCTGTTCCCCAACGATAGAAATAGCCAGTTGGTTGACTTTGAATCAATCTACATCGCACCTTTGGTCGTTTTGCATCTCTATTCTAAGGGAAGCTCAGAAGATCAAAGTGGTGCTTTCTGGATGTTTTTATCCCAGGTTTCCGGCTGTTTCCTGATGTTTCCCTCGACCAAAATGTTCCCTTGACCAATCTCGCAGGAAGCGAGAAACCTGGCGACTTTTGGTGGGAATCTCAGATTTTGAAGTTCTTAGTTCGATGAGAAGTGCCCAAAATACCCATATTTCCCAAAAATGATGGTAAAAACTATGGTTTCCTGTAGATTTTCCCAGAAACGCCCGTGAAATTTGTGCAGGCTGAAACTGGCCAAGAGCCGTGGCACCCAAGAGAGGCGGGGTGTGTGATTGAATAATTCTATACTTGAGCCATCAACAATACGGTCTGGTAATTCAACAGAGCTATCGAAAATCACCATGTTGAGTATGTAAATCATCTATAGGCCATTTTCCATAGCTATGTTAGTTTACTCGAGCGTACCTGGGTTTGTAGCTGTTGTGGATGTTGTGGACGATGTCAAAGCCATTTCAACGTGTTTGAGCCTGGATGGGGAGAATGACAGGTCGCAGAGCAAGCGCAACTTGCAGAGGCACGGAAGCAACAGGGGCACAAAACCGCAACTGGAGCAAGTTCCCCCAACAAAAGGAAAAGGATAGCAAAATTGCTATGGGACATGAACAGGTCCAAAATTGGCTGGTTAAGCCGCAAAATATTCGTGTTTTTGGCATCCTCCCTGGTAATCTGACCAAATTTTGCAGCTTTGAGTGGCAGAGCTGTACCCGAGATACTTTTTTTCGAAAGGAAATTGGATCATGAAACCCAAATCTTTCAAGGACTAGCACGCCAAGTTCCGAAGTTTGGCCAGACTTACCACGGTATCACAACCAGCGGTTTACCACAGTAGTTTTCTGCAAACCGCAAGATGTTTGATGGACTTGTTTGACAACGGGGTTCCCCAAAGTTCCCCAAAATTCAGGGGTTCTCATCAGTTTCCCTATGTCATAGAATTGGATGATGGGAAAATGTTAACCGGAAAGCCCATCAAATTTGATGGTAAAAACCATGGTTTCCTGTAAATTTTCCCTTAAACCAATCCAATGACTATGGTTTCCCTATGAAAATGACAAGACTCTTCTGGATTTACCGGGGATTCGGTCTCGCAGGTCGAAGCCAGGCCGGACACGTCTGTTGTTGGATGGTGTTCGGGGTTCCTGATAGAGATGAAGCCACAATATGAAAAAGAGGGGAAACGAACTGGTGCTGGGTCTAGTAGTCTACTTATACGATGTTTTACTATGAGTAGACATTTATACCAAGTTCCAGGCCTGGCCACGTTTGAGTCCTTCGCCATGCTGATGATTTTGGGGCGCTCAGGAGCCATGGTGTCATTTCAACCCGTTGATGACAAGCCATCCGCGAAGCTGGAATCCTGACCGGCCATGATGTAGAATCTGTCCTGGTGAAAGTTTCGGTATGGTCAAAGAATAGATCTTTAACAGCCCTTATCTGGTTTCAAACATGTTTTTCCATAATATATGGGATAATTCCAACCCCATTGACGAACTCATATTTTTCAAGATGATTAAAACCACCAACCAGTTATGATTGGTGTTGAAATGTGTTGAAGCCACGGAGATTTTCCACCCAGGATTATCATCCCCTTCCGCCAGGTCGAGTTTGTGCTTGTGCATTTTGCACGCTGAGGGGGCCGAAACTCTTCGTGCCACCTTGGAGTCTGATACTTAGCGGAACTTAGGGGCCTTAGACGGGCAACCAGTTTTGTTCACCTGGAAATGGGCCACATAGCTCCCTTTTTGTTGTGGATATCCTATGGCAGGGGGCTCAAAAATTGGGGAATGTAGGCAAACCAGCATATAGTATTACCCATAGGATCCATGTATGGTATATATGCTAACATTTGGGGTATATTGATGGTAAATGTTACCATATATATATATAGCATACATGAATCCTATGGGTTATAGTATTGGAGTAGCCAATGACTGCCCCAAGAACTCACTTGAAGTGATGCCCTCTGAAGGTGTGTCCGCCAGATTCGTTCTGTCTCCAAATTGATGGTTTCACATGTATCACATGCATCACATGTACGTGTATATATATATATATATTCATTTACTTACATACATACATACATACGTACAGCCAGCCAGGCAGGCAGGCAGGCAGGCAGACAGGCAGACAGGCAGACAGGCAGACATACAGACATACAGACATACAGACATACAGACATACAGACATACAGACATACAGACATACATACATACATACATATATATATATACATATTCGTATCAATATTAATATCAGATATATATATATATATACATATTATTATACATGTGTGTGTTTGGTTTTCTTCCATCCCTATGTCAAGATACTCTAACTCCACAAGATCATCGATTTTTCGGGCCTTTAGGTCCTACAAAGACGGTGGTCTGCTGCAGCTGGCGCAGAGACGCTTCGTGGTCTTTTTGAAACGTGCAGAGGAGGCCAGGATCCCAGGATGTCATGGTGATCCACGTGGTTCATTGTTGGCGGCCAAGGTGGTTCATTGTTGGCGAGAAGAGGTGCCTTGACTGGTGCGTGCGTGCTAAACGTAGGGTTGCTGGATGGGTTGGGAATGGGGTTGCTGGGATGATGACATTTTCCTAGTGATGACTGGGATCATTCCCGAAAATTCCCTGCGTAAAACGCAGCAGTAAGCTGATGATTTGCTGGATCAATTGGATGCTTCGGTCGGTTCGCCAGGTAGCAAAGTTCTACAACTTGGAGCCCATTGTGCCAGTGGCGGACTGGCCCGATCCTTTCATCAGGCCTGGGTCAGGCCACGATATGACTATGCTTCAGGTATGGTTCATAAAGTGGGTTGCCCTATGGTAATTTAATATGGCTATGGAAAATGGCCATTGAGTTCGTTGATTTACCCATAAAACATGGTGGATCTTTCCAGTTCGTTATGTAAACGTTTACCAGAGGGTAACCCAAAATATCGCACAATCCTTCAATGTAAAATCAGATGGACCTTCGCCGCTCCAAGTGACAGAACGGCAGGAAACGCCAGGGCGAGGTCAATCCAGGCCCTGCCGTTGGGAAAACTGCTGGCTAGGCCCTTGGTGAACGGATGGATCTGATCACATGTTTACCCATGGCCTGGGTGATGTTTATGGTCGGTGTTTTTTTTGGGCATCCAATGGCACATTCACCGAAATGCGGAGCGACAGGTGCGGCGATGAAAGCGTGCGCCACATCCTGTGATCAGGAGCTGTGGATGTCCCATGGGAAAATAGGTGGTACCCTAAAATGCTACAATGTGGGGCCCCCCAGTTATAAGTTGGTTTATAAACCCCATTAACTATAGTTATAAGTATTATAAACCATAGTTATTGGAGTTGTAAACCAACTTAGCTATCTTGGGGGTCCCACATTGTACTGATAGTAGAGGGTACAATGATGAAGCATCAAATTTAAGGGAGCCGATTTTTTGAGAAAAAGCCCATGGGTTTTCTGTGAATGTTCCCAAAGCCTAGTGAAAAACTGAGTAGTTTGATGGATAATGTGAAAGGATGGGGATGCAATAGATTACATGGGACTTGAATGGACTTGATATTTTCAGACCAATGAGGAAATGATACAAAAAGGTACCGCACAAGGCGGTGGCAGAAGTTAAAAAAATAGGAAACCCATAGGAGAGGTTGGTTGTTGTGAATCACGGATGGCAGAGCGAATCCACTGATGGACTGAAAGGTGTTTGGAGTTGTGTTTTTTGGAGCGGTTGCAATGGTTGCAGTGGTCACCTGGTCGGTCACCTCACCCACAACTGCTGGATATAGTGTGGTGTAGCGCAGCTGTAGTTGTAGTTACTTGTAGTGTAGTGGAGTTGTAGTTGTGGTGTAATGTAATTAATGTAGTGTAGTTGCAGTTGCATTTGTGGTGGTGTTAAGAGTGTAGTGTAATGTAATATAGGGTAGTGTAGTTTAGTGTAGCGTAAAGTAGCCTAGTTGCAGCTGTAGCTGTAGTTAGTGTAGTGTAGTGTGGTGTGGTGTAGTGTAATTAGTGTACGTAGTGTAGTTGTAGTTGCAGTTGTAGTGTAGTGTAATGTAGTGTAGTGTAGTGTAATTGAGTGTAGCGTAGTGGAGTGTAGTGTATCGTAGTGTAATGTAATGTAGTTAGTGTAGTGTGGCGTAATGTAGTTGTAGTTGTAGTGTAGTGTAGTGTAATTGAGTGTAATGCAATGAAGTATAGTGAAGCGTAGCGTAGTGTAGTGTAATTAGTGTAGTGTAGTTGTGGTTGTAGTTGTAGTGTAGGTTGTGTAATGTAGTGGAGTGTAGTTTAGTGTAGTGTAGTGTAGTGGTGGTTGTTGTCGAGACTGCTACAAAACCCTCACGTTTTGCTCACTTTTGACAAGGTGCACAATCCCTTGCGCCTGCCACACAACACGACATCTGAACGTCCAAAAGTGGTCCGAACATGTGGTGGTTTTAACATTTTGACTTGGAAATGTGCTTCGGGCCACAACGACCCGCACTTTTTCGACATGTCAACTTCAAAAAGTGCTCCGAGAATGGTGTGCTTTGTACATTTTGACTTGGAACTCTGCTTCGCGCCACAACGGCGCGCGCTTTTTCGACATCTCAACTTCAAAAAGTGGTCCGAACATGGTGTGCTTTGTACATTTGACTTGTAAATGTGCTTCGCGCCACAACGGCGTGCACTTTTCGACATCTCAACTTCAAAAAGTGGTCCGAACATGTGGTGGTTTTAACATTTTGACTTGGAAATGTGCTTCGGGCCACAACGACCCGCACTTTTTCGACATCTCAACTTCAAAAAGTGCTCCGAGAATGGTGTGCTTTGTACATTTTGACTTGGAACTCTGCTTCGCGCCACAACGGCGTGCACTTTTTCGACATCTCAACTTCAAAAAGTGGTCCGAACATGGTGTGTTTTGTACATTTTGACTTGGAAATGTGCTTCGCGCCACAACGGCGTGCACTTTTCGACATCTCAACTTCAAAAAGTGGTCCGAACATGGTGTGCTTTGTACATTTTGACTTGGAAATGTGCTTCGCGCCACAACGGCGTGCACTTTTCGACATCTCAACTTCAAAAAGTGGTCCGAACATGGTGTGCTTTGCACATTTTGACTTGCAAATGTGCTTCGCGCCACAACGGCGTGCACTTTTCGACATCTCAACTTCCAAAAGTGCTCCGAACGTCACGTGAGGTGTTTTTAGCTTTTCCACTTGCAAATGTGCTTCGTGCCACAATGGCGTGCAACTTTTTATCTCTCATCTGGCCAGCTGGCTCCGCACCCGCGCCGCTTTAGCGAGCCTACTTTTTGACCCTCCGGAACCACAAATCATGGGAAAAGCATAGCGAATCGCGACTTTCCTACTTTTTCGCGCACCTGCATCTTCTTTCTTCTCATTCTTTCTCTTCTCTGATCCTCTCTCTTCTGCTTATCTCTTCTCTGACTCTTCCCACCTCTGCGTTTCCATCTCTTCATATTGTCGGAAGTTTGACTTCTAAACTTCCTTCGATAATCAATACAGAATGTGTACACGTACATCAACATAACGTGGATAGTAATCTTCCATGGATTGTTTGAAGGGGACATTTAGACAAGAACCACCATTTCAACCATCGAACTTGTTCGGAGTTTCTGCCCGGAAAAAAAGTCTGGGACAAAAATCCTGATCAGTGGCCAATTAACAAAGCTGATTACGAGGGCAGAATCAGCGGACAAACGTATCACAGAAATTGTCATTTTGGACTGGTAATCTGGTGAATTGTGGCCACTGTTCTGCGCTGCCACTGGGTAAATCCATGTTTTTGCGTGTCTGAAAATGTCGTGTAGCTCCAATATATGATAGCCATTTCGAAAAATGAGGTTTGAACCTGGATGTTGGGTTTGTCGACGAAATGTCCAGATCAAAACCCATTTGCTAGGTCGATCTTGGATGGGTACTTTAATCCTTTAGTCTTTTGCTATCAATGGGATAATCTACTAACCAGCTAAGAGTTTACATTTTTTGCCAGGTATCTAAGATTGGCCATGTTTAGATCCATGGTTCTGGGCTTGAACCCCCCTGTCGGCTCAACACCCAGGAGTACCTTCTCTTCCTGGAAGATGACTTCCAGTTGGTGACCAGGTCTTCACATCCAGCAGATTGATGTTCAGTAGTTGCAAAGTGTTTGACACTAATCTATATTATGTATAAATACATGCGCTCATATAATAAAATATAAATAGTATAATATGTAATATACATAGATTATATAGTGTATATGTATGTGTGTTTTTCTTTAACACGATTTAATATGATTTAATATTTAATACAATATAATATATATATATATCTATTTAAACTATTCTGGTGCATAACATAAAAGAATATTTTTAATACAGAACAAAACATAACATGAATTAATATAGCATAACATGATACAATATAATTTAATATATCTATATAAATATATATATATCATCATCTTTTAATAAAATATAAGAAAATATCATCTAGTTTAATATAACATAGTATAAGATATGATATATATATAGATTATACTAATACAATGTGATAGAATGTAGTGTAATACAACTTTATTTGATATTTAATATTTAAAATAGAATATTTAATATTTAATATAAAAGTATAATGTGAAATTATATAATGCAATGTAATATAGTTTAAAACACAACAATATAAGATAATATAACAGAATGCAATATTTTGATATAATTTCATTTAATGTAATATAATATGTTTTAATATTTTAATATGTGATCTTTAATATCTAATTATCATGTATTATTTGAAAATATAATGTAAAATCACAAAATAGAATCAAATATAGCTTAACATAATACAATGTAATATAATATGATTATTATATAATATATTATTTCCTGTTTCAAAAATAATATTTAATATATCATATATAATATGTAATACATAATATATAATATATAATTTTTGATATTTACTAAAAATATCTAATATCTAATATTTAATATACAATATAAAATATCTAATATCTAATTTTTAATATTTAATATATAATATAATATTTATTATCTATAATTTAGAATATATAATATATAAGATGTAATGTAATATAGTATATATTTATATTAGAATATGTCATTAATATTTATATATATATATGTATTTATTATTTAATGCGTATACAGTATATTTACATATTCTTTAAGCACCTCCAATCTGCGCAGGCTTTCATTTGAGCAGTTGCCAAGTCTCCTCGCTGGGATGATCCAACATTGGTGAATTTTCCCATAGGCCTTCGACGCTGCTGAAATGGATTTGTTAATGGGATATTCCCAAAATCCAATCGTTGAAAAATATTGTAAAATAATGTGTTATATATATATATGTTAATGGTTGAAAATTTAGTACAATATGTTAATAGTTGAAATAGTGTTTTATATATATATATATATACATTTTTTATATAATAGATAATACCTAATTTTCAATGTTCACTTCTAAGATCGCCACTTTTTTTTTTGAGACTTGAATTTGCAATGGAGCAGGAGCAACTTGAATACTAGCCTAGGGTAAACGTTTACAAAGATGTGGAAAATCCATGGTTTCCCAAAATAATCTACAAATGAGCTACGTTTTTTTTGGCATGAAGGGGTTTATCTGCTTGTTAGACTGGATGTTGCTTTTGGTGTGGTTTTTCCTTGGCTGGCGTAAGGATTGCGTAGGATTGGCGTAAGCATTTTTCAAAATATTTTCTGGTTCGCGTAGGCAACAATTTTAGTTTATTTCAAATGCTTGTACATGATCGGCGTTTGAATCTCATGGATTTTATACTTATTCAGTTTTATATCATTTCAGGTGGGTTTTCCACATTTCTGTTAGTTTGCAGGAGGGTACCTGGTGGACGAATCTCGGGTTTGTCGGATTTGTCGGATTTCGGCATTTTTTCCCAATGGGAATCATGAAATCCGTAAGGTCCGTCTGGTGAATCGGAATCTATAGGGAACATGGTCTGGTTGGTGCTTTGGAACATGACTTTTCCCGGTTAATCTATGGTTAATAATGGTTAATAATTGGAATAACAATATATCTGGTTGGTGCTTTGGAACATGACTTTTATGACTTTCCATATATTGGGAATGTCATCATCCCAACTGACGAACTCCATGATTTTTCAGAGGGGTAGGGTTCAACCACCAACCAGTGGTGTTCAATGTTTTGGGGTTTCCTGGATCGCAAATCCAAGATTCCTTTCAACAGAAGTGATAGTGAACCTGTGAAACATGAAAGATTGGTCCATTAGTACCCCATGTTTATTGTGATATGTGGTTGAATCAATGGGAATTTCAGGATCCAATTGATGGAGGTATGGTTTACGTACCATATTTCTGGCCATATTTTGTGGGGATATTCCCTGAAAAATAGGCCTTATATAGGCCTTATATATGGTAGGTCTCAAAAATGGTGCTACCCCAAAGCCACATGGGTTTCAACACTAAAGTGGTCATCCATGACTTGGATGATTTGGGTTGAACTATTCCTGCTTGCAAGTGGCTTCGTTCACCATTTGCACTACATAAGTTTCCAAGATGGCCTTCATGTGTTTCTTGATTCGCAGAGTTTCGGGCTCATCAGATTAGTTCACCCATTGAGTCATGGAAATGACCGCCCTAAAAATCACATGCGGCAGTGGTGGTTCCAGTCTCTGGGAGCGGCGACAGAAGAGAAAGGGCAGTTTGGCGGTTTGTACAGAAGTAAATCCCAGACTCTTGGAAGCTCAAAGTTTTACATAGTTTTACCCGCTGCGCGGTTGATTTTTTGGGGAAATCCCGGAATGTCCCCTATACCCGGGGTAAAAGCGGTGATTTCCTATGATTTCTTCATGGTTCATGCGGGTGAGGGAACACGAAGACCGGACGGTGCATGCTGTCATCCCCTGCGACGAAGGGCTGATTATTTGTTGATGTGGGGCTACCCTCCTGTAATTAAACATGACAATTGAAAGCCCCCTATAAACGGAGGTTTTATAGGAAAATCATCCAAATATTTGTGCGTATACATATTATATTATATATACGTATGTATGTATGTCTGTCTGTCTGTCTGTCTGTCTGTCTGTCTGTATGTATGTATGTATGTATGTATGTATGTATGTAATGTATGTAATGTATGTAATGTATGTAATGTATGTAATGTATGTAATGTATGTAATGTATGTAATGTATGTATGTATGTATGTATGTACGTACGTACGTACGTACGTATGTATGTATGTAATGTATGTATGTAATGTATGTAATGTAATGTAATGTAATGTAATGTAATGAATGTATGTATGTATGTATGCTGCATGCATGCATGCATGCATGCATGTATGCATGCATGCATGCATGCATGTATATACAATCATATATATATGTGTGTGTGTGTGATGACATCCCCCACTAAATCATGTTTTCTGAGGGATTGTGGATGGATTACATATCCCGTTGTTTTCCCGGTAAAGGGAAGCCCCCGACCCAGGGTTAGAAAATCCTTGCGCTCAGCTCACCCGGTCGCCTGCACCTAGAGACTGCTCGAAACCATGCGATGAAATAGAAACTTCATACTTAAAATTGGTAAGAAAAGGGAAACCAGAACTCTAAAGTCAACATCAAACGGTTTTTCCCCATAAAAAAATCACGAAGTTGAAGTTCAGAAGATCACTATATTTGTTGTTAAAAAGACAGTAAGAAACATAGTGTAACATAAGTCATAACCAACGCAGTTCCGAAATGTCCTAGACATTTTCCCAACATCCTAAGGTGTTCCCAGCATCGATGAAATACGCGATGCTTACGATTTGGAAAAGTTGCTGGGTCGTGGCTCGGTTGGGATGGTCTACAAGGCGAGCGATGGTGGCCGTGTGCTTCGATGTGGATGGCGAGTTGGAAAATATGTGGGAAATGTCTGGAAAACGGAGGCAAAAATTCTAGGTCAATCGACTGGGTAGTGACTAATCCTAACTAACTAGTCTTTTGTTATGGGATGATCTACGTTCACCAGCAAAATCTGGGACATCTCTGGGGAAATGCACCAGGCGCGGCGACGGGCCGATGGCCGGAAGGTGGTGGTAAAGCTGAGAAGCGTCATCGATAAGGTGGATGGCTGCGGGCGTGCTGGATTTGCTGGGAATTGTTGGAGGGATTTGGGGAAATGGCCATCATCTATAGACTTTCACCAATGAAATTGAGGATTTTTGGAGATTTCTAAGATCTTTCTGGATAAATGATGTTGCAACCTCACCACCACATCACTGGAAATGATGGAAATGATGGAAATTGACAGGGCAACTACAAGCCCGAAGTCATTGGCTTACTCAGGCTGGTAAGTTCTTAAAGGTTTTACCCAGACAGATGATTGTTTGATGATTTTTAGATGATTTTTTGATGGTTGATGATGGTTGATGATGTTTGATGATGATTGATGATGGTTGATGATGGTTGATGATGGTTGATGATGGTTGATGATGGTTGATGATGTTTGATGATGATTGATGATGTTGATGGGTCAAGATTTTCCCTTGGCAAAGATAGGATGCATCATCGCAGACTTCGCGCCAGGAGGTTGCCAGATGTTGCCGACAAGAGTTTGAGGTGCTGCGGCGCTTATCCCATCCAAACATCATCACAGCCATAGATTTTCTGGAGCAGCAGAACGAAGCAGCACTGGTCTTCGAGTATTGCTGCGATATGACACTTCAGAGCATGGTCAGAGCATGGTGAAGCAGTCTTTTCCAGGTGCATCGACGATGGGCCATGATGGGCCAGATAAGGTTGATGAAAAGTGGGCTAACCATGGAAGATGCAAGATTGGTTTGAAATCATTGACTGGTTGGTGGTTCAATAATATATGGGATAATCCCAACCCCATTGACAAATATTTTTCAAGATGGTTAAAACCACCAACCAGTTGATAAATGCTATATCCAAGTGGAACGATCTTTTGCCACTGGCTCGGATTTGTTCTGGTGACAATCACCAGCTGCACAACTGGGAAGCCTTGGAAAGGGACATGTCTGGACTTGCCCCAGACTTCCTTGGGTGCCATTCTACTTAGATGTGCATCTCAGCATCTCAGTTAAGAGCTTTGCTCACCATAACTAAGTAAGTACCCACCATTTAGTTCCATGATTTTCCCATTGAAGCCTCATTTATAGGGGGGTTCCAGTGACGTTTGAGGACACCATTTAGGGTATCCATCTGGGTGCAAAGCGGTGGGCTTTTGTTGCCTGAGGTGGTTTCCCATCAGCCACACTGAAGCCGTTGAGCAAGATGCTTTGCGACGCGGTCCCTGGGACGGACCATGGGTGTCCGACGTGTTTTTGCTGTGACCATGTGCACACCATGTATCTCCATGTTTACGTCGTAGGCGATGGAAAGTTGTTTCATCTTTTCGATGAAGCCAGCTTTTCGATCGTTGAAAATTGAGGTTGGCTATCTCCACAAGCGCCGCATCGTTCATAGGGACATCAAACCCGAGAACGTCTTAGTGTCAGATAGCTTCTTGGTGATGTGTACCACCCTAGCTTGCTGCAGCCAGCATTTCTTTTGCGTGGGATGAGCCTCCTGTGGACCAGTTTTCCGATGGTGCAGCTGATGGGATACCGATCTTCTCATGTGGAATCCTGTGCAGTTGAAAGATGTTGAAACCCTAAAAACCACGTTTCCACTGCAGGATTTCTTCCATCGTATGTTTGGGGGGAAATGAGCATTCATGACTGGTTGAGTTGTGACATGCACACCAAAGGCTTACCATAGTGGGCGAAAAGACACCATTCACCATCCTCAAATCAGCGGATAGCGGCCATTGGGACATGAAATCTTATGGTGGCTCATCCCACAAATCCCAAGTAGGTTATATCCCTGGTGAAAATTGTGTTGATGATGATGTGGCTTTGTGCTATCCAATGTATGATTATGACAATCCATGAACTGGGAATCCCGTTCTCAACCAACCAGTAAAATGGAATGACATGTCAGGGAAACCTACAAATATACCCATATTATTGTTAATTATAGATGTAATATATTCCCCTCAGGAATCACAGTTAATCGCCAGCATATCTCCATTATATCCATGGTGTTCCACAACTTCAGCGTGCTAATTAATCGTTAATCATAATGGTTCATGATGGTTAATCAATATCAAAAAAGGATAATGTGGGAAACCCTGGCTGCCATGAAGCTACCAACTTGGGGATGGTAAGTTTCTGGCATTGGATGGGAGAAGCCCAGAGTTTTTTTTGAGGTTTGACGAGCCTTTGGCTGGCCGACTTTAACACGGCCTACCAGCTGATGGATGGATGGGCCTTGACAATGACTGGCACCAGGGATTACTCGGCACCGGAGGTGCTCCAAGATGAGTCGCCTTCTGAGACACTTGGACGGTCAACCTTCTCAACGTCTCAACTCGTTGCTGCTGGTTGGGGTCAAATCCCTAATGGAAACAATGCTGAGAAATCACCATCCTGGGCTAGAAATCTACCACGAATCTGTTTCGGGAAGATGTTCTATTTCTTGGGGGCGATTCCTGGATCGCACCAAGATTTCATGGCACAAAGGAACCGAAATGTGTGGCCCTTCTGTGTTTAAGTTGATGTTTAATGAACCCGCTGTGACAATGTGCCCAGAAATGGCACGCCAGAATTTCAACTGTCCAATTCACGAGAGTCGCCATAGCCAGTTTGATGTTTCTCTAAGTGGTACATCCACTGTTAATATCTTTTGGGAACCCCTTCAGCAAATCTAAGTAGCAGTACTCTCCTTGTTTTCAAGCGATTGATGCCTTTCAGCCGCATGTCCATGTCTTTTGTTGATGTTTGTTGGATACTGGATGCAGCTTTGCATTCATGTCCCCACAAAGAAACCCTCCTATGATGATCAGATTGGTAGAGGGTGATAGATGGTGGGCTTTTGAAGGCCCAGAGCAGCAATTGCAACAGATTGGGATAGACCAGTTCCAAGTGTCGTGGCACAAAAAAATGATCAAAATGGCCTGTGAATATCTGAGATACCCTCCGGTAGCCAAACGTGGAAATGGGAAACCCAAACTAAGTGGAGACTAGCTGGGAAAATCATTTAGAAATACGGAGGATTTTCCAGCAAGCCACGTTTGAAGAAGCATAATATCCCCAGTATAACCCCAACAAATACCCATTGATGCTTGGTTATATACCATTAAAATCCATGAACAGATATAAATCCCATGAAAAATCGATGTTCCCTTAGCAGGTTTTCGGATAAATCTGCTATTCACCTCCAAGCTTCGGGCGTACCAGCTTGAGATTCGTTCGTTGGCAAAATGTGTACAGGATAGTGCCCCCCCCAGTGATGTTTGTCGGTTTATAAACCCCATGAAAACTAGTTCGTTATATCTACCATAAACCATAGAATTCAGCCACACCCATGTCTCAACTGAACGCGAGCTCGAACGGGGGCCCCGTCCTGTGCCTTTAGATCCCCTGCAAAGTACTGCCAAAAGAACGTTCTTTTGCTTGGCTTATCACCCATCTGACTACAGTTGTCATCACCATGAACCCAAGAGTTTTTGTAGGTATATGAACTTTTTGGGCGACAGCCACCTCTTGGTTAGGCATCATGTTCCGTGTAATATGGATATAGATATTATGTCCACACATATGTATATATATATGGCTAAATTATAACGACCTCACTGCGACGTGACTGGAATGATGCTTAATAAGGGGAATCATCCCAAAATTGCCTTAATTCTTCTGAACCTCTACCTTCCCCACGTGGGGGTGGTAGGACCTGACTACCACGAAGTCGAGGACGCATCTCGTTGACGTAAGACTAGGCTGAATCGCAATTCAGATTAGTGAAATATTGTAATACATCAAGATAAATAATTATATATATATACATATTTGTATACATATACATATACATATACATATATATATATGTATATTAATGTATTAATGTATTAATGTATTAATGTATTAATATGGCCATACCTTTGGGCCGGCCGCATCAGGAAGGCCGATATTTGGAGTTTGGGCCTGTCGCTGCACTTTATGGCGGTGGGCAAGCTGCCCCGGAGACTCGGGGATTTTCAGGACGGCAGATCGTCAAGCAACGAAAAAAAAACTAGGTCAGTCTTGGATGGGTAGAAACTAATCCTCTAGTACTTTAGTCTTTCGGTACCAATGGGATTATCTACGTTCACCAGCTAAGAATTTATTTTTTTGCAGGGTATCCAAGATTGGCCATGAAAAAGGACGACAATGATGAGTCGACCATCACAAGATGGAGTACTTGGTGGCTCACCCCACTTACCAAGCAGGTTATAACCCTAGTTATAAGTGGATTAACCTCACTTATCCCACTTATAACCAGGGTTTTACCAGGATTCGTGGGATGAGCCAACAAGGAAACATTGACCATTTACTGGAAAATCATCCATTCATGTGTGGTAAATCATGGAATCAACTGGTGATTCAAGAATTGAAAATGATGATTTCACCACCCAAAATTGGCTTAGAAATTGTTGCAACCTGCGACAACCTCCAAGACCGCAGGACCTAAGCGCTTTTTGCGCAGCCGTATTGAAACCGGTGCAGTTCTCCCAGCCCGAGTGGCATCCAATCGATGAGTCCTTCAAGGCAATTCTCAGGCGCTGTTTAGCCATAGAGAACCTTGTAGTACAAGGTGGGCCGGGCCCACTGGCGAAGTGGCTTTATAAGTATGTTCTCTATCATCTATGGTAGATATATATATATATATATCTCTATCTATATCTATATATTTTTTCTATATATATATATATCTATCTATATCTATATCTCTCTCTCTCTCTCGGTACATAATGGTTTTTTTGGACCAACTTGTAACCTGGGAGTCCACCCTGCAATTGATACTTTTCAGGGTGGTTGACTTGGGGATGATACTAGAAAAATTAAGATTCCTGGAAAAACAACATAAATTTACTAGAAAATTATTTAAGGTTCTCCTGGCATCGACGCATGCTCAACTCCCCTACCATAGCGACCAGCTAGGCACGCAATCAGCGCAGAGTCGCTCACAGTGACACGAAAAGGCACAGAGTCAGCTGGGCAGAAACATTCCTAAAAAGAACTTGAAGAAGCATCAAAAAAAACACCCAAACAACTCCAACTGAGCCTTGAAATTACACCTAAAAAACAAAACTAAATAAACCTTAAAACATATTAAAACAAAATCAAATAAGCACCACACCAACCATAAATCGGGACTATATAACACAAGCATAAACCGAAAGAAGCACCAAAACAACAATAAATCAACCCAAACTAAATCTTAGATAATGCAATCCAAATAAATCCTAAGCCAACCCTAAATAAGTCCTGAAATTAACCCCCAAACCAGCACTAAATGAAGCCATACAGTATATTATGTGACAAAAACCGAAATAGACTTAAAAACTACCCCTAAACAACACTAAATAAAAACTGAATAGACCCTAAAACAACCCTAAAGAAGCACCAAACTAGCACCACCAAACAAACACCAAACCAAACCCAAATCAACACTTTATAACACAAGCCAAAATAAACCTCAAAAGTAACCCTAAAGAAAGCCTAAAGCAACCAAACCTAAACCGTAAAACAATTGAAAAAACACACGCCCAAACTAACCATACAGAAGCCCTAAAATCAACCAGAAATAACCCCCAAATACACCTCAAACCAACCTGAAATAGATTTCAAAACTTACTCAAGACC